TCATTGATGTTTCTAGCTCTCTATCCCTCTCCCTTCCTCTCTGTAAGAAATCAATAAAATATATTTAAAAAAATAAAAAAATAAAAAAAGAGCAAATTGTACTCCAAATAAGGAAACAAAAGGAAAGAATAAAGATAGAAATCAATGAAATTGAAAAGAGAAAAAAGTAGAGAGAATTAATGAAACCTACACATAGTTCTTGGAGATCAATAAAATATTTTAACATATAACCATTCTGGCAAGAAAGAAAATACAAATTACTAATATTAAGAATGAAAAAGACATCACTAAATGTATCCTATAGATATTTAAAGGATAATAAGAGAAGAACACAAACGACTACATCCCTATAGATTTGACAACATAAACTTTCTCATAAAGAGAACTGTTCTCCTTTGGGAATCTATCAGACATTTCAGCAGTAAATAATAGCAGCTCTACACAAACTCTTCAGGAAAATCCAAAAGAGAATGTGGGGGAATACATCTCACCTCATTTCATGAGGATTGCATTGCTCTGATACTAAAACCAGACAGAAACATTTCAGGAACATTAAAAACAATATCCATAATGATCATAGAACCAAAAGTCCTCAACAAAATATTAACAGATCAAATCCTGTAATAAATAAAAGTAATACATCATAATCAAATACAATTTATTCCATGCATGCAAGGTTAGTTTAAATTTAAAAATTAATCAGTATAACCTAACCATATCAAGACATATAAAGAAAAAAAATACATGATTATCTTAATGTGAAAAAAAGCATTTGACAGAATTCATCATCTTATCATTATACAACTTCTCAATAGAACTATCTGTCCCTGATAAATGGCTCTTACAAAATCCCATAGCTAACATTTTACTTACTGGTACATGAATGATTTATTTCCCCCTAAGATAGGAATAAGACTAAGATGGTCCTGCCCAGTACAGTAAGGCAAGAAATAGAAATAGACATACAAGTTGAGGAGAAAGAAATAAAGTAGATTATATTTACTATGACATCATTGTCTATGTAGAAAATTCGAAAGCCTGAAGATTTAGCCAGGTTGCAAGCATAAGATCAATGTATAGAAATCAATTTTATGTCTATATACTAATAAATCAGAAATTGAATTTTTTTTTGCATAATATTTACAACAGTTCCGAACTACTATTGTAACACATGGGCAAGATTTGAATGGTAAAAACAACTAAACATTTTTATAGAATAAATTAACAGACTGTCATAGAAATACAGTAGTTGTGGATTAGAAGGCTAAATTATAGTAAAGATACCAATTTTCCATAATTAATCTACAGTTTTGGCACAATCCCATTAAAAATCCCAGTAGAACTTTTTCTATAAATTGACAAACTGATTCTAAAATTTATATGAAAAGACAACAGCGGTATAATAGTACAATTCTGAAAAAGTTAGAGGACTCATTCTACCTGGTGTCAAGGCTTATTATAAAACATACTATCCTATATAATACTAGAGGCCCGGTGCACAAAAATTTGTGCACTCGGGGGGCGGGGGAGGGGGAGTCCCCCAGCCCGGCCTGTGCCCTCTCGCAGTCTGGGACCCCTCGGGAGATAACGACCTGCTGGCTTAGGCCTGCT